TTGCGAATTAAATCATGGTTAATCCTTTCTGGAATTTTTTCGAGGAAATAAATGTTTAAGATTTACTTAATTTTTAATTAGTAGTAATTTTTAATGCAGATATTGAGTTTTGGTACTATTCGGTTTCGAGGGCCGTAAAAAATCGCCAAACTATTGTTGATGCCAATGCTGCCAAAAATAATTGCGGCAACCCTAATAATTGCGGCAAGAAAGGAAGTATAATAATAGTAAATAACTATCTAAGATTGATGTTTTAATTTAGATGAAAGGTTAATTATATGTAATACATTTTTATTATTATAATTTATATGAAAATGGCTAAATATGACTGAATGGAAGCATAAGAGTAAATAACTATTTCAGATCATTATTATAATTTATATAAAATTGCTAATGGATGCCTGAATCACTATTTCGCTACCGACTTATCGCTAAAGCATAATTTCATCTCGTTGGTTGTTCAAACGTAATTTTCTGTAATGAATGCCTTTTCTTTGACAATATTCTTGGTAAAGTGCAGAATCGCTCACTTATTTGTTTGCCGCTTTTTACAAAGGTAAAAACAATTGAATTTTTGTCAATTTTCTTTTAGTTTTTAAGTGAAAATAGATCTATGTGCACATAAAAAAAGTCAAGTGTGTGCGCAGTGCCTTTTTTGTGCAATTCTGGGATTTTTTTTTTTTAAGTGAAAATAGGTCGATGTGCACATGGATACCGAGTATGTGCAATTCTAAAAAACGCGTCAAACAGTGGGTGATTCTGCACTTTACCCAAAATTCTATTGCCGACTTTCCGTCGTGGGCAATTCCCAAATTGTTAAATCCATAGGATATTAAAAAAGGATTTAAAATAAAAAAAAGGATTTAAAAATTAAACTAGTATTTCAATGGCGTCTTAAAGAAATATAGAACTCTATAAATTTAAACAAATTTAAATTTTAACAAACATGTATATACGTAAAAAATCAAATTTAAACTTAAAATTTAAAAATGTGCAAAATTTGTATTTAAATTCAATTTATTCTTATAGAACTATATAAACTTACGCAATCTGAAATCGGCGCGTACTCTAGATTTGGCGCGCTGTTAAATGGGCGCGTTTGCTAGATTTGGCGCTTTTGCGTATATTTCGCTGCAATTTTTTACAGTCCTCAAAACGGAATAGTGCCTGAGTGTTTATGTATTTTTGCCTGTCGCAAAGTGAGAACTGAATTAATTGAATAAGAAATACTCAATCGTCTGTGAAAAACTGTTTCTTTTTTGTTTTGCTTGCTTAATTTCTTTTATACATCGTTCTAGCTTTATTATAGTATTTGAATAGAACATGTGGCAACGATTAGATAATTCTTTAAATGATATAAATTTTGTGCTTTCTGAGTTATATTATGAACAAAACATAATGCTGTTAAGTGAACCTAGCGCCAGAGTGTCGATATGGTAAACAAATAGAGTGAATTTTAAAGAATGCATTTATTCTATTGTGGTTTATGCGCTGTCCGCGAAGTAGATTTAATTCAATCCAATAAGTTTAAAAAAAATGCAATAAAAAATGCGTATAATTTAATATTCCGTACAAGGAAGTCATGTAGTGTACACATCAGATTTTTTCTTGAAAGCTTTAACAGCACATATTAATCGTCTCATACTACAGAAGATACTACCTTCAAGATAATCTTAAACCCAATCTGGTTTGTCAGAAATTCAGTCATACATAACGATTTGAATATAAACCCAATAGATTCCGAAATTCTCAATCTATCCCACAATTGCTTAACAAACATTAGTATTCCCACTCTATAGTACCAAATATTCGAAGCTATGATTATGTAGTTGAACAAACACACAGACGCCCGCGAAACATATACCAAACCAGAAAATGGTAGCAAAATAAGTATGGTATTTAACTTCACTCAAGATTTCCACAAACCTGATTAAACGTTGTTCTGAAACTAGATATTCGTTTATTTATTCCATAGATTATAGAAGATATTTGTTTCTCTACCATAATTACTAGCAGAATATCTGGACTGGAGTAATCTTGAATTCAGATGCAAAGTTAGAGAGTTCCCGAAGAGCGCTTTCTTCTTTCTTTAAGGATCGATTCTTTTCGAAAAATCGCAAAAACTATATCTGTATATATTCCTGTATATATTTACTATTTTCATATTATTTTTTAATTTATGAATTATTCAGTTATTACTTACCGATAACATTCCATTTTATCTGAATGAAGAAATGCCATTATTATTCAGTTACCATCAGAATTTAGAAAAGCTAGAGTTATTCAAATATTTACTGAAATCACTTATTTAATTTTCTCTGAATGAAGAAATACTAGAAAATTCTGAAGCATAGTGAGTTCGACTTGATACCGAAGCTAGAAATATGTATTTCCCTCATGTGAATGCAACAATTGCTATCGATTTTACAGTACTACCATATTTGCAATTATGACTCCATTCGGCCACAGATGGCAGCACTAGCAAGAAGTAACTCCGATTTCCATTCTCTTCCAAGCCTGTAAGACCAAGTGCAGAGGTCTTTCCATGCTGACTGGGTTTTAAGATTAAGGCATCAAAACTTAAGCGAAATATCTGAATAAATGCAATTAGGTCGAAAACTCCACTAGGAGGGATAATCTACGATCTACGAAACTTCAGCAAGCACATTCACCAAACAAAGAATAAGACATTCAAAGCACTGATAACAGGGGCGTAGCTGGAGGGGGCAAGGGGGGCATCTATCCCTGGGGGCAGAATCTAAGGGGCGCCAAACTGATGTTACGACATTTTAGAATTAAATGTTTTCCATTCTTGGCAAGCAGTAGGGGGCGCAAAATCTTCAGTTGTCACTGGGCGCTGAAAACCCTAGCTACGACTCTGACTGATGAGTGCATATTCAGTTATCGGAAGAAATTCACTTTTTGGTGAAAGTGCAGAATCACCCACTGCTTGACGCGTTTTTAAGAATTGCACATACTCGGTATCCAGTGCTTAAATTGCGCCGGAGCCCACCGGAGCCCGGCTCCGGTGCTTCTCAAATTTTAAGATAAATTACAACTTTAGCCGGAGCGTACCGGAGCCCTAAATAAGATGAGCTCCGGTACTTCTTTTTGTAAAACTGAACCACAATTTAAAGGGAACAAAATTTAGAATTCCTAACGTTTTAAATTAACAATAAGCAGACCTTGCAATACTCTATTTCCCTAGAAATACGAACTCATGAGAAGTTCAAATAAAGTCCCCTCACTCACATGCGGAAACCTTTTCCCTTTAAGAAAAGCAATAATTTGGAGAAGTTTGTTTAGGAACGAACTAAATTTCTCGCCATGCCATCGTATCTAGTGTATTGTTATCGATGCTTACAGTTAGTTGTCCTCGCAGAAAGGAAAATTTGTGTTCTTAAATGTGCGTTAAGTGACAGCGAGTACAGTAAGAGTGAAATACTGAGATAAACTGCTCGAGCACGTCCTATACATCGTCTTCCCACAGTATCCACTAATGCCGGGGGGGGGAGAGCGTAACCAGCAACTTTACATTAGGAGTCCGATTCAGGATTCATTTACCCCTGACAACCATCTGCTTGATGGCTATAAATATATCAACAGAGAGCCGCGGTCAAAGCGAACGTTCTCTTTCACCAAGATTCCCATCATTTTTTGTTTCCACCCACTCATACCCTCATTCTGTTTCGCCCTGGAATTTTCATCAGCTATACTTTAAGTATATTTAATTTTTGTGATGATAAAAGAACTTCCCCTACGATCAGAACTTAAATTGGGTCGGAACCCACCGTATCTCGGCTCCGGTGCTTCTTAGTTTTTGTAATAAATCATTAGCCAGAACGCACCAGAGCCCTGAATAAGAAGGTTGCGGCACTTCTTTTATGTAGTTGAATAACAATTTCAGTAGAAATTTTATCTAGAAAATTTTATTTTAACAATAAAATTATATAATCGCGTATTAAATTTCAATTTATCTCTTTACATTTTATTTAATTTTAATTAGTTAATTCTTAACTCAATCTTTAATTATTTCAATAAAATAATTAATTATCTAATAATTATCGATTAAATTATAATTAATTATATAATACTTATTGATTAAATAACAATTTATAAACACTAATTAAATAGCTATTAATTAATTTGATAATAATTAACTATTTAATTTTAAAATTATTAATGTGTTTAATAGTCATTTTATTTATTTATTTACTCTCGTTCCTCTCTGCTGACGGTCTTCCATAGGGCTTCGGCACTTCTAATCTTAGAAATTAAGCCCTGTCGGTATCCATGTACACACCAGCCTATTTTCACTTTAAAAAAAATCCCAGAATAGCACAAAAATGGCATTGCGCACACTCTTGACTTTATCTATGTACACATCGACCTATTTTCACTTAAAAAGTAAAGAAAGTTGACAAAAATCCAATTCTTCTTACTCTTGTAAAAAGCTCTAAACAAATAAGTGGGCAATTTTGCACTTTACCCCACTTTTTACTATTACTACGGAAAAAATTATTTGTTTACAGACGATTTGCCCGACTATGTTTTATGGAACTCCTGTTTGGGCTGCAGCCGCTCGCTCAAAAAGAAAAATTCTTCAAACTTTACAAAGCAAGGCCATCAGAATAATGCTGAGTGCTCCCTGGTTCATTAGAAATTCTGTCGCACATAAAGACCTGAAAATTGTTTTTATTAATCAAGAAATACTTGCTTCATATGACAATGTTTATAACAAGTGTACAAATCATGAATCTGAAATTATACAGAGCGTCGGGAGTTACGACTACTTATTAGACCAACCTTATAAAAGACCAAGGACTGTTCATCATGATAACCACTGGTAAATTTTTTATTTGAGTTTCTGCATGTAAACAATTTTATTCCAGTTCTTTTGAATATGTAGAGTCCTTATGTACAATATTACTTTATATGTCTCCTAGATGGCGCCACATGCGATGCCCGAAGTAGATGTAGTACCTAGGATATGGCTTTTTCCTGGTCTTTGGATCTTTCTACGCGTGGAATTCTCAGTCTCTCGTTATGAAGCCGAGTTTCTGAGAGATCGAACGGAACTCCACCAACGACCTGATGGACGTTTCGATTCGGAGAACCGTAACTTCTTGTAAAAGTACGTTATCCCGACTCTGTTGACCTCTCGAGAAGAAAGATGCGATTAATGCATTGTACGAGTCCTAAAATTTTTTTGAAGGATTGAAGCCATTCTATATAACCTCGATTTTAAGTGACTTTGATGGAAACCTAGTAAGCGGGATTCTATTCGAAAATTTGGTGCTTGCAGTTTTCAAGTTTGGAATAGCAAACAGACTGTGGCGATTGTTGTTAGCAAACTTATTCTTGCAATGTCACATTTCATAATTATTTTTCTGATTAAAGTCATGTATTAAGCTATATGTAAATATCGATTCAGTTCCATAAAGTAAGAGAAACAATTATGTATATTTTTATTTTAGTGAAGAAACGGACAAGATTTACCTTACCAAATATATAGGAGCCTATTAAAGAGTTTCTTCTCTTTTGTGCCTACTACAATTGTGCTGTTGAAACGCAAGAAAATTGGATACATCATTAATGACTCAAATACTGCAGTTTTAAAGTAGCACCGTCAAAAAAAAAAAAAAAAAGAAAAACTCTTCAGTTTGTGTTATAGTTTACATTATAGTTCACACAGATAGAACATCCAAAAAAAGGAGGATAAACTACCATTGCATCAATGGTGGAATGAGATGGAATACATATGCGAATAAAGATTCTATTATATTTAGCAGCATTTTTATTCTAGAGTGATGTGTTAAGTAGAATTTATAACCTCATAGTGGAAAAATTGAAACATGTATTCCATAACAGGAGACAAGCATAACATTTGTACTATATGTAATATTTTATTTGGATCTCCGGAAATATTAATGCTACATTTACGTATTCATGCAAATGAGAATTCAAAGGTGCATAAGTGTGCTGTATGTGAGAAATCATTTGGACAACAATCACACTTGATAGAACATTTGCGCATCCATACTGGTGAGAAGCCGTATGGTGTGCCACATCCTTACTGGTGTCAATGTGATATGTGTTGCAAGTCAGTTGCTGTAAAAGGTTCTTTAGGAAAACGTATGTCTGTGCATACTGGTGGGAAATATCATATATGTGGTATATGTATGAGAATTTTTGCAAGCCAGGGATCTTTAAATACACATATGCAGTCCCATACAGGTGAAAAACCATATGAATGTGATGTGTGTAGGAAGTCATTTGCTCAGAAAGCTAGCTTGAGAACACATTTGCGTGTCCATACCGGTGAGAAACCGTATGAATGTGATGTATGTAGCAAGTCTTTTGCTCTGAAAGTTTATTTAAAAAAACATATGTCTGTCCACACTGGTCAGAAATCTCATATATGTGATATATGTATGAAGCCTTTTGCTAACCGGGGATCTTTAAATAGGCATATACAGCTTCATACAGGTGAGAAGCCCTATACATGTGATGTGTGTAACAAATCGTTTTCTGAGAAAGATAAGTTAAGAATACATTTGTGGATCCATACTGGTGAGAAATTATATGAATGTGATCTGTGTAGCAAGTCATTTACTTGTAGACGTAGCTTAAATAATCATATACTTCTCCATAAGGGGGAGAGATCACATATATGTGTTGTGTGCGAGAAAGCTTTTGTAACACTATCAAGCTTAAATTCGCATTTGCAAATACATACAGGTGAAAAACTATATGAATGTGATGTTTGTAGCAAGTCATTTCTTTATAAAGGCAATTTAAAAAGACATATGCTTATCCACAGAAATGAGAAAACGTTTGTGTGTGATGTATGTAAAAAATTGTTTATAGACAAAGGGCAGTTAAATTCACATATGCGAATGCATACAGGTGAGAAGCCATATGAGTGTGATGTATGTAAGAAGTCATTTTCTTTTAACAGCAATTTAAAAAAACATATGCTAATCCACACAGGTGAGAAAAAATATGTGTGTGATATATGTACAAAGTTGTTTATAGACCAAGGACATTTAAATTCACACATGCGAAAACATACAGGTGAAAAACCATATGAATGTAATGTTTGTAAGAAATCATTTTCTCACAAATTTAATTTAAAAAAACACATGCGCATCCACATGAGAAAAAACACATATGTGGGTGTTGTATGTGAAAAATCTCCAGAATATTCGAATTTAAAGAGTTATATGCAGAATCATACAGATGACACTACAAAAATATGTGGGAAGTAGTCATGTTTTTAGATTTCCTTGATTAAAATACAGTAAAAGCTCGGCTATCCAGATTATTCAAGAAATACTAAATGTACTTATGTATTAATGCAACCACCTTGGAACAGTCTAATGACTTTTTATGGATGAAAAAATGGAAATTACTTATCAAGAACACGTTGATGATTTTGCGGATTTGTTTTTCAGCATTAGCGAAGTATCGATATTTATCATGAATCGTTAGATATTATCAGCATATCTAAAGAAAACACACTATAAGAATTAAGATTATATGACATATTTAAAAAATTAAAATATGCATTTCACAAAATCATTTGCTAATGTTTTAGGACTTTTCTCTTCCCATATATAAAGCAATCTGTTTTTACTTAAACTAGATAATTTCCCTAATTCGGTATGATAACAATTTATCTACCAAATTCAACCTATCATTGTTCCCTTAAGATTTATCTATAAAACCCATTGGAACTTGGAATACAATTAAAGAAGATATATGAAATAGCAACCTTGCTTGATTAAAAGATTGTTATGAATATGATTACCTGAAGAATGTTTATGTGCATGGTTGCCAGAGTTTGGCATATTCTGAAAATATGGCAACTTCTACTAAGGTGGTTGCAATAATACATAACTACCATACTGAATTCCAGATCTGAGTGGTTATGAAATGCAATTCATGAAAGAAAAGCCAAGTTTCTAAATGTGACTGGTGAAAAATTTCTGATCTAAAATTACAAAAATAGTTATCTTTTCCATTATCAGCTTGAACGTCTAAAAACCTATATTTAAAATTATATAAAGTTAAAAAAAAAGTACATTTCATACATAAAATCTCATGTCCAAAAACCTACATTTAAAATTTATATAAGATAAAAAAAAAAAAAAAAAAAGTACATTTCATACATAAAATCTGATGTGTTTTGTAGACCTTCAGTATATAAAATTGAAACATTCAACCATAAAATGCCCTCAACTGTAAAAGTTAGCAGAGATGCTACTATGTCATTCCTGTAAAAAGGTTAAAGGATAATTATTTAATTAGAATCGTATGATTCAAGTTATGGATATTGAGATTATATAGCTCATTTGTTTTGAAAGAAAGTCATATATCAAGACCATTAAAACTTTTTTTTTTTTTTTTTTTGGTGCCAGAATCTTTTGAAAGTACTCTTATTGTTCCATGGAAGGGAGATCCCAAATTTTAACGAGTCTTTCAAGCTATGAGGAGAAACAGATAATTAGCAGTTAACTTATCATATGTTCCTGCCATACAACATGCATTGGTGTATAATGCATACCTATAATTTCAAACTACATGTATTAATTTTTAAGATATATTTGCCATATAATGCGAACCCTTTTCTATATGAAGAAACCTGGAAGATATATATGTGACACTCTTATCTTTTTTAAGTGAACATCAAAGGCTTTAGTTAACTGAATTTGCTTTAGTTGAAATACAGTTGATCTAGTTGCTTTAATTGAAATATTAGTATCTAGTGTTTCTTTTAGTAGTAGATATGGCTCCTGCTAAATGAAACAACACAGTGCTGGCTTTAAATGCAAAGTCATTCAGTTTGTGAAAGAAAATGGAAATCTTGCTACAACAAGGATATTTGGTGTTGGTGGAAGATGGAACAGATGATGATTTTATATTTATGACAGTGATGGTGAACATGAGCAGAATTCGATGATGCATCTGAAAATGTAACGGAAAACGAACATGACGAACTTTTCATGTTATTCAATAATGAAAATTTTTAAGGTATATCATTTTTCTTTACAAACTACATTTAGGTATGTTAAAAATCTAATTTTTGTAAGTTGATGTTTTTCTTATTCTTTAATCTATCGTTTTATATCCAGCATATAATGTGCACCTTTAATTTTGATCTTATTTTGTGTATTAAAAGTGTACATTATACAGCGGAATATATTGTATTTCTTCTTTACAAAAATTAAACTGACTTATCAAGAATTGATGCAGTTTACATAAAGCTAAGTGGAAGATCTTATAAATATGTTGTGATGTTTCATTAATACATTACTCCTAAATTACACTGTTTGCCCACAGGTTGTATTTGTCAAAAATGGCCAACAGAAAGATATGTTAAATACCAGATTTTTTAAATAGTTGTGAGACTCTTGACCAAAATATATTTAATAGAACTAAGAAAGCCTGTTACTCAAGTGACCACCCCTGTTAAACATACTAGCCAGAGTAGTTACCATGATAGACAAACTAAACGCATATAGTAAACTTTGGAATATGTCATATATTCTCATGCCATAGTAATATTGGATATCTTATTCCCAGGACAAATTCTTGGACCAATAGGATCGACAAAACTGTGAGGTGTAAGCTGTATGTTTTGAAAGACAGTCATGTAATTCTTTTCACATTTTAAAAACTATCAGGGGCCTTTTAAGAATTCTGTATATCTGGGCTTTCTGGTTAATTGAATACCAAAAACTTTTACTGTATCTGCATAAACATACAAGGTTAGACACTGTTGTATGTATGTTGAAGAACATAACTCTTTAAGGGACATGATTTTTTTATCTCTAAGCATCATTTCATTCTGCTTAAAATTTGCTGGGCCTCTATTTCTCTCAAAATTTGTACATTTCTATTTGTTGTTGTCTTTGTTTTGGAATATTTATAGTGAAACATGGCATTGTTACTTAAAATCCTTATGCTGTGGCTTGCTACTTCTTTATCAGGAAGATATCGTTACATGGAAACTTTGCATCTTATCCCATTTTGTACAAATTTCACAAATCAAAGAACTAAAATCATTTTTCTTTCTTCCTATTTCTCTGAAATTATTTCATTTACAATTGCCCCCTTTTTTTCTGCTTTTTAAGTTGTTGGAGTTCTTTTATGTTCAGCTCTTTTTTTATGTTCCTCTGATAATTTCTACATGTCTTCGCAGTTAATATCCTAGCCCATGGTTTTGCCTAGAGACATAATATCATATATAACAAGAAATAATCTTACATGTGAAAGTCTCTGTCTGTAATCTATGCTGCATCTGCAAGCTAAATCCATGATCTTGTAAATTTCTTGTTGCCAGGGCTTTGTTAATCCTCTGAGTGGCCTGGGTTTTTGGATCTGTCATGGAGACCTATATCTAAAGAGCCTTTATTAGCTAAATTTGTATATTTACCTATTTTAGTCTCTATTTTCATAAACTTACATTCATTAAGATGACATTTATATTATTAATGAAAGTAAGAAAGGAAAATAACTTAAATTATAAGCTAGTATATACTAAGTAACAAAAAATCTCATGACCAGATTCCAGCCACGATGCTCAGAGGGTTAAGAAAACTTAAATAATGAGAAACATTAAAATGATGCTTCTAAAAGTCTCTGGACTCTAATTAAGTTATCTCGAAACATGTTTAGGATTTATGTGTTGCCCAGTTCAGGGTTTATAACTTGAGATTTCATTAGTCATGCAAGGTATTTTTCTGTTCAGATAGTTTGTTGATGAAGTGTGGGGTTCGTGATCTGAATGTGCATTGATACCACTTGTTTGGCTCATGATATTGGCACATATCGTTGTTTGGCTTGTGAGTTTTATTCAAAAATTACACCAAAATGAGGATTTATTCTCCCTAATAGTAGTGGGAAAAGGTGATTACAAATCATCAGTCATTAGATAATGTATATCAACAGCAATGTGAATATTTTCACCATCAGCATATTCGAAATAATACTTTGGTTTTAAAGAGCAGTGTATGAGTATTCAGTTTTCTGAATATTGCCATAATTTAAATCTTGAAGAAGTTTGAAAAAGAGCTTGAAAATCATTTTAATTTGCTGTTTGACTGATTATCAAACATTATAAATCATTTCATATATATATTTTTTATTTTAAATTTTGGTGTTACAAGAAACCTCTAAACTACTTTTTGTAGATTTACAGAAACTCCATGTAAAAGTTTAATACTCTGGGAAAGAAATCCAAAAGTTCAGGTCAGGTTGCCCTCTTACCCCCAATTCATAAATCTGCCATAGGTCATGAAGCTGAAAATTTTACAAAACAGAGCTCTAGGTTAATAAAATTTTATATGTGTTATTGTTAATGTATAACATTTTTTATTAATGATAGGATAATGAATATGTAATTTATTAATGTATAACATTTTTTAGTTTATAACGTTTTTTACAACTGATTTGCTGAAACAATTTTCAATTCAAATGATTTTTATAAGTTTCAAAATGTTAAAATTCATTATTAAAATGTCAGTTTGCAGGAGTAGAGATGCTAACCATGTTAAACTCAATTTTTTGTTAATTTGAAATGATCTCTTTTGATCTTTTTATAATCAATATGCGCTAGTTTCCTGCAGTGAAAACTGTTTTTATTCTGCAATATATTTATGTGATTTACAAAGAGTAGAGACAAGAGTGTTTCCATTAAACTTAAATGTACAGTGGAACCTCTAATGAATTATGAATGCCTTACTTTATGAACTATTGGTTCAGAAACAAATTATTTGAATAAAAAAAAAAAAAAAAAAAAAAAAAACGGATGATTAATGATGTTTCTAGTGACAAAGAGTCAAGTCAGAGTAAGCTGTTTTGAAGTAACCTATGCTACATAATTAACACTTGCACCTTCTTGAAATCATTTTAATACTTCCTATTGCTTAACTCTTATTAATAAAGTGTGGCAGCAAGTAATTTACAGGACAATGACTTCGGTCTAAAAGAAACTATGGCCAGATTAGGTTGCAGGCAGCAGCACATTTAACGCTTAGTTTTTCTTCCTTTTTTGTCTTTTTATCTATGATATTATGCCTCTAGATAAAATTAGGAATTTAGCAATGAACACATGGAGAAATGGCCTTGATGGACATAAAAATGTGCACAACAAGAAGGAATTACAACAATTTCAAAAGCAAAATCTGGGAGAAATATCTTCAGAAGAAAAGGAAGGAAGAAAAATGACCTTAGTTCAATGATCTGTAATGTTAATGGGATATAATTGAAAAAAAAAAAAAAAAAAAGGAATATATTTTGTTAAGATGCAAAAATTCCATATAAACAGCCCAGTGAGTCTCAAGCAGAGATGAGTGGCAAGACCCCCTAAAGAGAGTTATCTCATATTTTTCTCGAAGGAAATTTCATATCTAACAATAATATCTTCCTCATCATTTTTTCATGTGTGCCATCTTCTTCATACGCTCTTTTTCACATGGCTTTAGTAAAATTAAACTAAGGTTGCCTCTGTTTTATTTGTTTAAAATTATGTTTATCTTTTTACGTATTTAATGATATCTATAAATTTTAGTTTATAAAATGGTACACAAAGTACTGTTGTACATTTAAATAAACAGTCATTGGTGATCCAGGAATGAATTTACCTATTTTACATTAATATCTCTGATCAAAATTCTTAGTTGGTGGCAACGACTTGAAAAGTGATACAGCCTTTTAAAGTTTTCAATGCAAAATGAAAACAATAGTCCTTCAGTGACAAAGCCCCTTTGGACTAATAATTAAGAATACATTAACAAAAATGATTTTATCAATAAATTATAACCTATTAAATTTGAATTCCTTCTAGTTTTACCAAAAAAGAAGTAAGGGCCTTTAAAAGGGTTGTTTTTATTAGTTATTCAAATGTACAAGTGGCTCCCAAAAGTGTTTGTACACTTATGATTTCCATTGAAATAGGGCTCTATCCATTAATTAAAAGTAAATTTTCTGAATGAGATTTTAATAATAAGATTTATAACTTATTTGTAACAAAATTACATGAAATATTTTTAAAATATGGCAAAACTTTATTTTTAAGAAATTAATAATCAAAAAATGACAAACATTTTATCTCACAAAAGTCTTCGTACACTGAAATATTTTTGGATAAAATCAAAATTAGAATTATCGTTTGCCGCTTTTTTAAATTTTTGCATTGTGGTGGCATTTAAAAAATCATTTGCTTTAATTTTTTATTTCTATTTATTATTGAAAAATGGGTCACAGTCATAAAGAAATTACAAACACCATTCGGAAATTGATAATTTTTCACCATAGTAGTGGTAAATGAATTCGAAATATTGCTAAATTAGTTAATTTATCCCATTCTACACTGCAGTATATGGTAAAACGCTGTAAAGAAGGAAATCAAATTGAAAAAAGGGTAAGAAAAGGTCGACCGAGAAAGTTAACTATACGTGATGAGAGATTTATTATTAGAAAATTTGTGAAAATCCCACATTTGAGTGCTGTAAAAGTTTCTGCGGAATTTAATGCAAAGTTTTCTACTTCAATTTCACCTGAAACTGTTTGACGAGTTCTCAGAAAAGCTGGATTACATGGCCGTTCTGCCCGTAAAAAAAAATTGTTAGTGAGAAAAACAGAAAGCTTAGGCTTTCATTCGCAAAATCAATGATAAATACACATGAAACATGCTGGAATAATGTCCTATTTACTGACGAAAGCAAATTTAACATTTTTGGTTCCGATGGTCGAATAACTGTATGGAGAAGAAAAAATTAAGAACTTAGTTGGAACAGTTAAGCATGGTGGTGGAGGTGTTCTTGTGTGTGGGTTCATGGCAACCATCAGGACTAGGTAATTTGGTATTTATTGAATTGTATTTATTGATGCCATAATGAATCATTCTCTTTATTTAAATATTTTAAGAAACAATTTAAAATTATCAGCCCAAAATTTGGGGATTGGTAACAACTTTTATTTTTAATCATGATAATGATCCTAAGCATATGGCTCTCAACGTTCGCCTG